CGGGGAGGAGGCTGCCACCAGCGGGGGCTTCAACGTCTTCGGCGACGGTCTTGTGCGCCTGGACGGACAGCTCTGCCGCCTCGGCCGCTACATCAAAAGGTGGGTGCGCCCCCTCTTCGGGGTCCCCGGGAGTCCCCGCTGGCCTCCGCTTCTTGGTGCAGTCACCGGGGCCGCCAGCTCTCCCGCCCGGGCTTTTCTGCCCTGCGCCCGCCCCGACATTTGCAGCTGCGCTAGAAGCCGCCCCGGGGGAGCACCCAGCTGGCCAGTGATTTTCCCTTTCTGGCTCCTTAACTGGGTCAGATGAGCTCAAACTGGGGCACACCCTTCGGGGATGTTTCAGAGGAGAGACTCACATCCTGACTTTAGATTGGTGGGAGGGGGGTGAGAATGCTCAATTTTGTGCACTACGAGCTTTATCCGGTGAGGAGACTCAGTGGAGAGTCGTATTAAAGTTCAGTGTCCCATCTTTTAGTGTTTCAAGTAAATGAATAAATAAATCACAGCTGAGAAGGAAACAAAGTCCCATAAAGTCTAACCCTGGGTCCTCTGTGCCATCGTGTGGGCAAAAGTAAGTGTTGTGTGCAAGTGTGCATGTGTAATATTTTTCTGAGAACTGACTGCCTGGAATCGGGCAAGAGCAGCCTAGAGCTTGATTCATAGATGAGTAAGCCCGCCAGCTATTACAGAGCCTTTGCTATTGGGAAAGACAGCAGCACTATGCCACCCCGTGGGTGAGATGCAGCCAAGAAGAGGCAAGCAAGAAAAGACATTTAAAATGCCTTTTTCAAGCTGCTGGGAAAACCTTGCTTTTCCACACAGTGAGAAGGAGGGATTTGAATGCCTGAAAAAAACACTCCTCAGCAAGAATTTCTCCCTTTCTTAGTGAATAGAAAATCCCAACCCTTACGCAGGAATTCCAACCCTGGGAGGAACGGAATTAGAAATCAGATTTTCAGAGATTTAAAAAGAAGTTAAGCATTGCATTTGAGAACGATATGAAAAATAGAAATGCCCAGAATTAGTTGAAGATATAGGTTAGGCTTTTGACAGAGCCAGCATTCCCAGTCTTAGCAAACAGTGCTGCAAATTTTTAAGTGATTTTGTAGTCTGGTCATTAAACTCTTGCTTCAAACATCTCCTACATAAAAGAATATAAAACAGCAGTGGAACCCTGGCAGTTTAGAGTTCAGAATAAATAATAACCAGGCAACACAGACCAGGGTGCAAACAGTCAGAAATACAAGATTTTTGTCATCTAAGCAATTGTGTGAGGGTTTTGTACTGTGGGAAAGAGCAAGGAGGACCTGAAAATAATTCAGGGACTGGAAGGAACCATCTGTCTTCCACTCAGGAACATCCTATGGCAGGGAAAGTAGGCTTTTGTAATGGGGTGTGTAGTCCTGAAGGATGACTGGGAAGGAACCTAGTGTGAATGGAGGGAGCCCTCCAGAAAGAGAGGGAAGACTGAGTCGTGGGCCACAGTGCAAGGTTTGCCCTCATGGATCACGAGGTGGATGCGTAGTCAGAATTCAGACTTCCAAAGTTGCTGCTCCTCAGCTTGGCCAAATTTACCCCGTTGTCTTCGGCCTTGGGGCTAGCATACAACTTCCTTTCTCAAAATATTGCTCCAGAGCAGTGATTTATTCCCTCCTTCCCCTCCTTTCTTCCTTCCCTTCCTTTCTTCCTCACTTCTTCCTTCAATAAGTTTTGGCCAGTTTTACTAAAGACACATTTGGCACGATTTGCTTTTTACCAGTCTGTTCTGGCAGACTGCTAAAGGTCACACATCACCTGGTACCAGCCAGTGTGCATACTCTAGTGTTTCTAGCAGCTGTGCCCAGGTCAATATTATTTCCAGCGTAGTGGTGAACATCAGTTTTGGCTAACAAGGAGTAGCACTCTATTTGGGACTTCCCCAAGGTTGGGCAGTTGGAGAGGATGACCAGTTTCTCTTTGCCTTGTCTGTCATCTTCAGAGTTGGCTGTACCCCCACACGTACTTTCCACTTTTCATGAGTTGGGGTCTAGAGCTGATGGACTCCAGTGACTTTTTCATCTTTGCAGTCACCATATTCCTGCCATAGGTATGATGGCCCCCACCCAAGAGCAGTCGAGAAGGTGTGTGTGGGGGAGGGGAGGGGGGGACGAGAAAGCAAAGCAATCATCCTTAATCACTTTGGACTGTAGACTTTGGGGGATCAATCACATGTAGACCTTCTCCCCAGAAACAGAGACACACCCGATGTTGCTGACCATTTGGGTAATTTATGAGATAGTTGAATTCAGTTAAGAATCCTTGCTCTGCTAATTATTTTTTTCCATTGCACAAGTATTTTTGGTTTGGGATAAGCCCACAGTGTAAGCAGGATTTTTTTCCAGGGCCTCAGAGGCGTGTACTATGCCTTTCACTAGGTCCTTTTCCGAGGAAACCGAAAGGTTCAGAGCTGCTGACCCTGACATTCCTATGGTTCACTCGCTCAACTTCCTGCGGTTTGTTTTCTGATACTTTAACACTTTTCTACATACATACCTGCTAAATAAGCCCAAGGCAACCTAGGGTGATGGGAAGGTTTCCTGATGGCCCTCAGGGCTTTAAAGCTTCTGAGGACCTGCTTTAAAAATATTTGTCCTACTTTGTGGGATTTATGGCAAGATCTTTACTATTATTTTTTCCTTCAAGCTCGGGATTTCTGTTGGTATTACAAACAAAACCTGCTCAAGATACAAGGTACAAATCATCATTAACTCTCATACACACACCTTTTTCCTGTAATGCAGCCTCTGAGTGAAGTGTAATGGCAAACGATAGGCAAAGCGGAGCTATAATCCCTGCTTTTCAGTGTTTCCCTAGCATGAGAGGGGCTGCTCGGGCAATAACAATAAGCCCGACAATAATAACAGGGGTCACTAATATTTGCTTGAGTACCAGGAATGGGGCACAATGTTTCACAGCTGTTATTTCACAAAAAGTTTACGAAGTTGGCGCTGTTGTGTCCTCTTTGTGCAGTTGAGAAATTAGGATTGGGAGAGGTCAAGTCCTGCCCCTGAATAGGATCCTGGGAAGCATGGAGTCCAGGCTCCTATGCAGCCTTGTCTAACTATGAACCCGTGTGTTCGGCACACCGCCCGACCCGAAATCTTTCTGCATTACTGTAGACAGCAGCTTTCTCGCAAGTTTCCTGAATCTACAAAAAAATAACGGAAATTACATCAGCCAGGACTCATCTTGTATAATCAACCTAAAAGCAAAAGTAAGTCCAGTGGTTGTAAAGAAGCCACTAAAAGCAGAGAGATGACCTGGTCCTGCCTGTGTTCAACCAGCTGTTAGATGGTGACAGTCACACTCGCCCGCCTGGAGGGCAGCCGCCAGGGGCAGAGAGTGAGGGTTGAAAGAGGAGACTCATGGAGTTAAAGTAAGGACCCCAAGGCAGAGCTGGAACATAGATTTGTCCTGGGGAAGCCTCACCCCCACCCCACAGTGGAAGTGCTTGGGCTCCCTCTGCCTGCCCAGGCGCACCTCTCAGAAGTGACCTTGACTGAGGCCAGGAGGTGTGGAAGCAGTGACAGCTCCACATACAGAGGGCAGCAGGGTTACCCTTGCTGCGGCTGAACTCAGCGGGCTCCCATCCTGCCCTCTTGGCTAGTCTTCGGCTTTGAGTTTTGGCTTTGGTGATTTGCCCAGTTCAGCAGCCCCTTCACAGGGCACCGAGTGATACTGATGAAGTAATTTTCATTGTGTGTTGAGCTGTGTTGTTATGAGTACAGTCTCAAGCACATGTGGACGGGCAGGAGGGCCAGCACCAGATGGCCTTGGTTGGAACCCGGGTTCTGCACTTACTGCCTCAGTGACTTGGGAAAGCTACTTCATCTCCGTGACTCAGTCTCCTCAGCTGTAAAATAGGAATGGTAATTCCTCACTCTTATCGGGTTGCTGTTCAGAGTAAAAATTCATAAAGTGCTTAAAATAACTTTCAGCACATATTGATTACTTGACAAACATTAGCTTTTATATTATTATTAAGCAGCCCCCAAAGCCAAGTGCTTCACACACATTATTTAATCTTTTAGCCACTTCACGGATTTCCTTTTTTTAAAAAATATTTTTATTGATTTTATAGAGGAAGGGAGAGGGATAGAGAGATAGAAACATCAGTGATGAGAGAGACATTGATCAGCCCCCTGCACGCCCCCTACTGGGGATCGAGCCTGCAACCCAGGCATGTGCCTTTGGCCAGATCAAACATGGGACCCAGCAGTCCGCAGGCCGACACTATCCACTGAGCCAAACCAGCCAGGGCATGGATTTCCTTTTGTCAGCTAGATTTTACAGGTGAGGATATGGATCTTGTCAAAGTTAAAAGTCACAGAGACAGAAATCAATTCCAAATCAGATGATTGAAAAGCCTCAAGCCTTTGCTGCCTTTTCTCCTGCCTTCCTTCCTCAGGAGCCTTGTTCTGGGCTTCCAGACACACTCTGGTTTACTTCTTGCTTTCAGCTGACCTGATGCTTGCCACATGCCTACCTAGAGGAGTGGAGGCAGCCACCCCATTGTCCCCAAGGCCTGGCGAAGCCATGACTCCTCCTGGGATCCCTATCTTTCTCCTGCTTTGCTCACCCATCCGTGGAATGCTGGGCCCAACAGGAGGATCACTTTTCTAGTGTGTGTCTCAGCTCAATAAGTGGTTCTGACCCCAGGACTCTCCCACTTTGCTCTTATTTAAGTAACTGGGACATAACCCTGTTGAGAGTGGACACTGAATGTAGAGAACTGAGCATTCCTCCAGTATTTGTGTGTTTGAACGATTAACTAGTTTGTAAACCTCTGAGTGGGAGGGACCATGTCTTAGACCAGTGTTTTGCAGACTTTAAGTAAGCATGCTGGTCTCCTGGGGATTGTGTGGATGTACGTTCTGATTGAATAAACCTGGAGAGGGGCCTGGGAATCTGCAGTTTCACATGCTCCCACATGATGCCAGTGCTGCTGGTTCAAGGGCCACACTTTAAGCAACAAGGTCTTAGACAGTTATTGTTTCATATTGAAATGGTGCATCTTCTTATCTGTCTCCTCAGTGGACTATATGCTTCTTGAAAGCAGGACT